GTCTAGGAAATTCTGGTCTGTGATTCTGATAGTTTCAAAACGATGTTTTTTCAAAAAAAAGAAATGTTACAGTTGTATCTATATGTATCTAAATTGTTCTAGCATGGAAATATCTAAAATGTTATCAACATGGGAGGTAGCAATGTCTACAGTATGAGTCACTGCATTGTGGTTTTGTTCTGCTGTATCATATACTCAGATTGACTCCATCATCCTTATCAGAGTTACTGGAGATTTGCAGTGTTCTAACAAAACGAAACCTGATCACATGTCTTCTGTTACTGTGAGCGCTGTTGTAACTGCTTCAAAACAACAATCTGATTTAATAAGAACAGCATTGCAGTAATTTATGGGTCTGCTAGAAAGAACAAGCCCTGCTTTTTTCCTGGCTGGACTGGGATGTGGAATAGCAGCTGTATCACAGTATTGTATATGTAGAGAGCAACAAACCAACACACGGCACTGAAGCTGACAGCAGTTTGTGTAACTTTTTTTAAAAAATAACCCCAGCAAATGGTAGGAACAGAAATAAGAACATTTTCCCAGGAAGTTTGTAGAGGAAAACATCATTGTTGGATTACAACTTTTCTACCTATATTCAAAATGAATTCACCTTCATTTTGTTGCCTTCAAATATGTATGGTTACATGATAAAGAAATAAACAATCAGTTTAAGATACAAAAGCAGAGGCAGGTTTAGTAGGCTGTTGAACCTGAGCTGTAATCAGAGGGGCATCTGGTACTTGATATATAAGGGGATTAAGTGTATCTCTTCTGCAGTGTTTGTCACACTTTTTGTCCCAACATAAGGATCAAATGTCTGAGGTAAGATTTGTTTTTCATCTTTTTCATCCTTTTACTGCTTTGTATTTCTAAACCACAGTGTTTTCAGATACTAACTTAAAATACAATCTACAGGGTAATATTTATGGACTGTGATTTTTTCACAGCTCATCAAGCCAACTTATATTATTTTTCAAGGAAAGTACATATGTGGAGCATAAGACAGAATTTGATGATTTAATTTTCACTTTTTGCTTGACAAATGTTTATTTTCCTTTGGCTTTTGAAGACAGTCTTCATTATATATCTAGATAGTCCTTTGAGCTTATAATATTTAAGAACTATTAATACTTTTCTTTGGTGTTAAACATAGAATTTGTCAAAAGAATGCTTTTACAAAAAAGTTTATCAGACCCTTCATATAGTTTAGCTACTCTTACCAGAGATAGTCCATCTGTCTGTATTTTTTAATGTTGTTGATACTAAAAGTAAAATGCTGTTCTGTTGTAAATGTGTGACAAAAGTTTTTAAGTTAAATTGAGAGTCAGGCTGTAATAATTTTTCAGTTTTAATAGTCTTATGTTTCACTTAATTTCACTTAAATTTCACTAATTTCAGTGCAACTGTGAGTGCTGGGCACCTGTGGGAATTCAGGAAAATTTCAAGATGTTTCTCAGTTGTAACCAACATTTTGACTGTACAGTGAAATCATCTGTCAACTATTTTGGAGGGAAATTTTCTTTTAAATGAATTTTTACTTTTTTTTCTTTGCATTTAAGGAGGAGCATTTTAATCTTGTTTTTTTTTTAATATTTTAAAATAATTACCAAAAATAGCTGCATTTACCTCTCTTAATGATACTGGGTACTATACAGGTGGTGTAAGAGCTCCCTCTTTAGGTTTTATTTTAAATCTCAGCTTAGAAAAATAAAAAGGAAAGGAAATTCCACTTTTTGTCAATGCTTTATAAACATATTCAGTCACACATGGTTTTACATGATTTTTAAACAGCTGGATTTTATGGAAAGAAAGCCATCAATTTTGCCAACAGTTAAAGCATGAGAATGTAATAGTTTTATTATAGATTTTACAGGCTTAAGTATGTTTCTACAAAAAATTTATACTTTTAATAGCAGCCTGATAAACTGCATAACTTAAGCTGCTGTTTTATGTAGGATTAACACAGCATTTTCACTTTTGTAACTGCATTTTATACAGCATTTTATACAACAATGAAGTGATGGTCTGTGTCTCATGGGCAGGGGCTCAGTGCTGCACTAGCTCTCTTATATCTGGCTGCACATAAACTATTAAATAGCTCTGTTGCAAACACAATTTAGCACAGCCTTGTATAAGGTCATATTATATGAGACTTCTCTTGAATAACTAAAGCAGTCTTAAAAAATCAGCTGGACTAACTGAACAGCTGGCTTAGAAGTTTACATTAACTTTTCTTTATATATAAATATTCATTTGGCATATAACTATTAAATACTATTTAATAATAGTTAATAATAAATGTATCATAACCAGCATTCTGAAATTTGTCTGTACTAGTCCCTCATTCAGCATTTCTCAAGGTATAGCATTGTACACATAGAAATAGAAAAATTGATGAAACTTTAAAAGGAAATGTTAAGCTCTGTACACAGAATTCAGGGATTATAAAAGAAGTCTTTGTAGGCATTCATATCAGAGCATTTGGCTTTCAGAGATGAAAATGAGGCCTATATACATGCATAGAAGCAAATTGTTTGGTTGCAAACTAGTGGAATTGTTGTGGTCATTATTACAATTAAACACTAATTAAATAGTTTGAGACAATCAGTGAGGGTACTGGGCTGGAAATACTTCTCATTGTGAAAACTCTGTATAATATTTTTCTTGGATATCTCTGCAGTTTCTCTGGATTGGCAAATGAGAGAAGAATTTTGCGCATAGTCCAGTTAGAAATGTTCCATATTCTTAAGAAAACGAGAATGGGTCAGAACATGCATATATTATTGACATTTCTGGTTCGTACTCTCACACTGTTCATAAATATAGTTTGCAAGAAGGAACCACATTAGATTTATGACAGCAAAAATAGTCAATTAAAATGCCTATTACTATGCTTTTGAATACTCTTCCAACTTATTTTTAAATAGGAAGCCACTAATAAATCTGAATTGGCTCATGAGTCAAGCATCTTATTAATAATTGGCACTTTCCTAGTCTGCACAATTAAAAATTCTGTCACTAAGAGCAAAAATGTTTTAAATAAAAGTTTTCACCATTTTTGTTTCATAGGAATTTAATAGCTGTATAAGGAAAACACTGTTTCCTTACACCTGTGTGCAGACACTGAAATCTTTTTGTCAGTGACAGCTAGAAAGGAACATTGCAAACAAAGTTCCTGTGGTAGCCATGACTTCTGAGAGGGTCTGAGGTTTTCTAAGATCTGAAATAGTGCAGAGAAAAATAGAAAACTATATTTAAGTTTTATCTAAATCTGCTATAAGGAAATTACCTTATCACAATATAGTGTCTGTTTCTCATAGAGATAGACTTGTGGTTAAGTAATACTAGTTTTCAGAAGAGCTAGACAGATTCAGCTTGACTGGCATGAGAAAGAGGGGAAGAACTGTATCTCCCAATGAAAAGATCTCTCATCATTGAACAGGAAAAGGTCGTCATTACCATCTCTAGTGGCTTAAATTTTTTGCAGGTTCCACTTTGCACAAGAACATGTATGGCCAAATCCTCTTCTGGTGGAATAGACAAGTCAATGGCTTCAGGACAGAAGAAACCTTGGTCAAAGAGAAGTCTTCAGACATCTAGGAAAATTAAGCAGAAACTGAATGGGCCTGTGCGTTTATTGGTGGGGCTCCAGGACTTAGGTATTGCATGAGATAAGCAATAAGTTTGAAAACCTAGATTTTGGGCCCGCATCCTAAATATGGAAAGTAAATGGAACTCTACACTCCTAAAGTTTTTTCCATTAAAGGAAGTTTCTGTGTGCTCATTGAGAAAAGGGCTGCAAGAGTAAGTGATGCAAACATTGCAGGGGCAGGGGGGAAGCAGAACCCCCTTTGTGGTTGAACCCTTTTTGTTCTGCACCATAGCTTTATTCTATATTTATAAGATGCAGAAAGTATCACGCATGATCATTTTTCAACAAATTGAGACTTCAGAAGTAGAAAAGTGGCTTAAGAGAAATAAACATATTATAATCTAGCCAAAAGAAATAAAGTTGGATGGGCAGGTTTATTACCATGTGTTTGGTGTAGCTGCTGTAGTAACAGATCTCAGCAACTGTAGTTTATGCTTCAGTGATTTCCTACCTCTTTGATGACATCTACTTTGTAATGGATTGGTGGGTGGAACCAATTGTCCTTTGTCTCTTCCAATTCCAGCATAATTTCTCCTCAGTCTTTAGTGTAGGTTTTTGTTTTTGTTAGGTTGGTTTTGGTTTTTTCTTTTCTTTTTTAGCCTAATTTTTTTCTTGATTAAGCATTCATGATTGTACTGCTCTCCACTTCTGTGATTCCAGCCTTCAAAAGTGGTACTTGGTTCCTGAGTATGTGTAAATTATTTTCTTGGTATCCTGAGCAATTAAATGGAGGTGTAGGATTTCAATTTGTTTTTTCAAGGTTGTTACTACTTCCCTGAAAAAAGTCTCGTGTATCCCATTCTCTTCACAGTGCATAGGATCACACCACTACTAATTTAAATATGGAAGAAAACAAGTTCAGGCAGAATGTATAGAACAAGTAGGCTAAAACTGACTTGTTTCTGATGATAGTGTCTTCAAAGTAGGGTTGATTATGCTTGATAAAGGATTTGTAACCTGAACATGGACTGTTAAAAGTGGCCTGGTAATCTGCATCTGTGTCAAGACCAAGGGTAACTGAAACTGGATGGCAAAAGGAGGCTTCAGTCTCGCAGAAAACACTTGTACAAAGCTTCTGAAGAGAAGATAGTCACTTACCCATTTTCCAGAAACACACAGAGGACATAATGACATGCAGTCTTTCCAAAGACAGTCCAAGTTCAGCTGTGTTAGACCTAGAGTTTTATAGATCTAAAGAATTGTTTGTAAATAGTTTGGTAGAAGAAGCTTAATAGTTTGTGAAGCAAATTTTGATATGGTTGCTTGCAACAGTAAGGAAGTGGATTTTATGACCCCCACATTCTTCTAGTCTCATTCTTAACTACATTTTTCTCTTTTATTGCAGCCCAGAAGATGGTGAAATCCATCCTGAAATCTGTAGACTATATATCCAGTTGCAGTGTTGCTTAGAAATGTACACAACAGAAATGCTGAAGTCCATATGTCTGCTGGGATCACTGCAGTTTCACCGGAAAGGTACTGAATTGCACAAATATGCAGATGCTTGTTTTAGAAAAATTGATGCCCCAATCTTCTGGTGTATGCCTGGTATTCATGAAAGACAAAACACTGTCCTGGTTTTGGCTGGTGTGGAGTTAATTTTCTTCATAGTAGCCATCATGGAGCTGGGTTTTTTTGCACTGGAAACAGTGTTGATAATACGGGCATGTTTTAGTCATTGCTAAACTCACATGATGTCAAGGCCTTTTCTGCTCCTCACCCCACCCTACTAGCAAGAATGCTGAGGGGGCCCAAGGAGCTGGGAGAGGACACAACCAGGACAGCTGATTCCAGCTGACCCAAGGGATATCCCAGACCATATGGCATCATGCTCAGCATATAAAGAAAGGGGGAAGATGAAGGAAGGTGAAGACATTCAAAGTGATGGCATTTGTCTTCCCAAGTCAACATTACACATCATGTAGCCTTGTTTTCCTGGGGATGGTTGAACACCTGCCTACCTGTTGGGAGTGGTGAATAAATTCCTTGTGTTGCTTTATTTGCTTGCACGCCTTTTGCTTTCTTTATTGAACTGTCTATGTCTCAACACAGGAGTTTTTTCACTTTCACCCTTTCAGTAGTCTCCCTCATCCCACTAAGGCTGAGCAAATCAGCAGCTCTCTGGGAGTTCATTGATGTCCAAGGTTAAACCACAACAACCACCAAACTGTAAAATGAATTATGTATATCTATTGGTAGGTCTTCAGTTAATAAAAAGGAGCTCTATTTCTGTTTATCATCATTCTTACAGAAGTGTGTCTTGTCATGTATATATCACAAGTGTTCTCACCATTTAAAAGTCAGATTCTTTTTAAAAAAGAGTAGTTCCTTAAGTTTTAGCTGTCATTAGTCAAATGAGTGGGCTAGCTGAGTAATGTTATTAGACATATTTGTTGGGCAAGATATGTTATTAACAGTGTTGTTATTACTATTAGTTTTCTTATCTCATTGCTGTTTCCAGTAAATTGTGCTTATCTTAACCTGTGATCTTCACCTTTTGTGCCTCCAATTCTCAACTCCAGCCTGCCCCAACATAAAGAGGAGGGGGAGAGGGAGTGGCCTGTGGTTTGGGATAATGTCAGTGATAGCATTAAATTGGGGAGTATCATTCCTAAAACATTACCATAGCAAAAGGTAGATAAATATGGTTGAAAATATGTCCACCTTTATAAAAGCAAATACTAGACTTGTAACTGAAAGGAGATGTCCTCACTTCAGTGAAAATGCAGCTCTCTAATAATTTCGTACTTGATTAGCCGCCTACTGAAAGGAAGATGTAGAAATGCTGATAATTTACTGAATAGTTTAGTTAGTAACCTCATGGCTCAGTGATGGCACAGGCTGATTATGGCTGTATCTGTGCTGATTGTAACTACTCTTTCCCCAGATTGTATCTCATCAATAAAAAACTAGGTAAGGACAAGACAGAGTTCTGTAATGAGCTGTAATAAAGGTCTTGTAATGAACCTGTTGCATTTCCTGTCATGCTAAAGGGTCCTGTAGTGTACTTTTCATATCTAGCTGTAGAATACTGCTAAAGCTGGGGATATTTTTATTATGAAAGTAAGAATGGGAGATTTGTGAATGCTTAACTGAGCTTCTCAATTATTTTCTCAAGTCAAAAATAAGTCTATAAAATAGGAAGAGAGAGAATTAGCAGAGCCATTGTAGAACAAGATAATAGTAGCTGTCAAAATGAGTCATCACTTTTAAGACAGATTGTACTACATTTCCTATTGTTGGCAACAGTTGTCAAACCATCTTCTGAACTGCTGCAAGTAAATAGCTTAAAGTGACCTGAGTAACTCTGAAATGTCTTCTCTGTCCCTTTTGTCTCTGGGTGGAATCTATATTAATAACTGAAACTAAACATCGAACTATTAGATGTCTAAAGTTGCATAAGAAGAGTCACAGCTTAGCTCCTTTTGGCAGTAGTGTGATAGACACCAGTTTCTCAACTCATCACAGAGAGAGTCATGGTAGCTATTTTGTCCTTGCCAAATACAGTGATTTTTGTCCTTGCCAAATAGAGTGATAAACACAGTAACTTGGCTCCAAGCTTCTGTGACATTCTTTAAAAAAAATGCACAATAGGCAAAAACCATATGATGACAGGGATTCAGATAATTTGACTATCCAACAGACAATCACTTTTTTGTATTAAATATTTATTATTGTCAACATCTAGAAGTAGGCAATGCAAGGGCATCTTGCAATGATGGAAATTCCAGTCCTGTGTTAACTGTTTTTTCGCTGTGAAGGTAGCTGCACACTAGACAGGCACCCAAAGGGGCTGTGAAATATCCATCCCTGAATATACTGATAACTCAAATAGTCTCAAGCAGTCTGATGCAAGTTGGCCCTGCTTTCAGTGGGATGTTACACTTGATGACTTTGCAACCTATTTATTTTATGCTCTGACAGAACATACCATCTTCAGAGAAGCATTATGAACCCATAGTTTTCCTTGATTTCTCTACTTAGAGAGAATGCTGCTTTAGTGTAGGTGAAATGCACAAATTTATCTCTAGGAAAGAGACAATTACTTCACTATTATAAAATATATTGTAATGCTGCTGTATATAGGTTTTTTATTTCTCCACCTGTTTCGTTTTTCAGAGGTCTTTCATCAACTGAGTGAGCATATAAAAAAAAAAGTTTATTGCTTAAAAGAGTACTGGCCTTATAATCTTTGCTTAACCCATAAGTGTGCATGTCTGGTGTTCTTGTTGTGTCTTGAAAATAATTTCTGAGGGTAATATTTCCTATTTGGATGTAATACTTCCCTTCTCCAGCCCAATTACCTGCCAGACAATTTGTTAGGTTTTTAAACCTCCCGTGAGGTTTCCACAATTCATGGCACCAGAGATTCAAGTAGAATGATATGCAGACTGTTCTTCGCAACCTGTGGCTTATAAATAATAAAGTGGATATTGTACCTTGATCAGACTTTATCAAACAAGCTGTAGAACTGATAAAACTCAGGCAGTGTGCTGATGGTGATGTTATTTTCCCAAGAGAAACTCAGCCAGTAGGAAAGAGATGTCATACTAGGAAAGAGATTCTCTTAAGGAAACACCACACAAAAATTTGAAGGTCTGAGCTTTTGAAGGTCTGGGTCCTTTGACTTCCTTTCACAGCACATATCATCTCACATCTCCTTATCTTTCTTTTCAGCTGAATAAATATTCCTTTATTTGCTGTATATATATATATATCAGTCTTCCTATACAGAAATTTCTTGTATGTTTACAGTGCTTAGAATAACTTACTGCTGTCATTAAAAACTCTGCTAGAAAAGTCAGATAATCTTTTGTTTCCTTGAGAGATAACTGGCACAGTGGGGCCAAAAGCTATAAATATTTGCAGCTGTTTTATGCAGTAAGTAAACTGAGGTAAGTGTTCCTCAATAATTCTTTCTTGTAAGATACATACACTACAAAAGCCCAGTGTTGAGAATATATAATGATTCAACAGTTCATCATTCAGAAAGTTTGCAAAGGGCATAAGGAATTATGCCTAAGTATCTTTAATTCAAGTGTTTTGTAGTTACTAAGTCTTTGGCTACCTGATAATTTATTCTATTAATTCTCATTTCAGTAATCCCAGGAATTCTGGCTAACTAATACACCTACAAATACTTACTTGGGCATACATCTTTCTTTTATCCTAATTGTTTAGTGTCATATACTTTATTTGTTGCACATCATGAATTAAAAACTATAGAGTTATGTCATTGTAACTGAGATGTGTGTCCCACCTGACATGTGTAAACACAGGTGAGGGCAGAGTAATACCAGCACTAACCAAAGTGATTGGTACCTGTATAGTCATGCAGAAAAGGCAAGAATTTAGTCTTAAGGAAAATCAAGTATGTGTACTACTTGTGTTTCATATAAGAAATTAATATAGTTAATTATTGTATTTCCAGTATGTGTTTTGTGGTAACAATATATATTTCCTTAAAATAGTATCTAAAAATGATAGCTTATGTTACAAACCCTCAGTTCAGTGGAGAGAATTTTTTCTTTTCAGCTTTGTTTAAATTACCTGCTTTTTAGAGTTTTGAAGGGGAAAGGAAAGATGGTTTAATGGTTGTGCTACAATCAGTGTTCTTTTTAAAGACTGGTAGATATGTGTTATTGCCTACACATATCACTTATGAAAGAGGGATAAGATGCAAGAGTGCAGAAGAGCACACAGGTATGGAGAAACAAAATCAACATAGTCACCCGTTCTCACGTGGACACTATGAAGGAATGGAACAAAACCAGCCATGGAAGGAGGGTAACAGAACTTCTACCACAAAATTATTGTTCCTATTAATAATAGTATTTCCAGTGAGACTGTCTCCAAGTTCTGCAGGTCCTAAGTGTTAAGTAAAGAATTAAATTCATCAGGCTGTTACCTTTTTTACTTCATACACAATTCTTTCCTATTCCCCTTTATAGGTTTTCCTGCTCGTTTACTTTAGCTTGTGCATTTATCCTTAATTGCCAGGTTAGAAACCTGATGTAAACACTGTACTCTTTTCGAGAGAGGGATTTGAGATCACCTTTGTTAGCTGATCAAAGATCTCTAGTTCTTCAGGGACATATATTTTTCTGTCTTTTAATTTTTTCATTCATCACAGTTTATGTGCAAATTTGGTGATGACTAAAAGTAGGTGCCTAGGGTTGCATGATGGAACCAAACACAGAGATCGCCACAGAAGCAGTAAGGGGCACAATAGGTGAGACATATAAAAACAGGTGATGTATGTAACCTTACTGAACTGACAATTTTATGCCTTCTTATTTATCCTCACTCAAGTTTGATCCTCAGCATTATTTAACTAAATTGATTTAATTTCTTATCAAAAGCATTTTCTGCTTCTTAAAGTAAAAAAAAGAAAAAGCTGAATTACTGGTGAGAAAAGGAAGAATAGATCATTGTGACTAAAATTATGAAAAATCTTTCCATTGACTAAATTGAAAGTAAAATTTAGGGTTCATATCCATTTTTGAAGTATCTGACAGAAAATATCCTTACCAGCCACTGTAAAGATGAAAAGATTTAGAAACTTTTGTTTCCCTATAGGCTGTGACCATGGTAGAAATGTTAAACCTGAGTCATACATTATTCAAGCAAAGCCTTTATTATTATCTGACTCTTTAACTGCTTTCAAGAGACTGAGCAAATGATCTGAAATTCAAGAAAGGCTTCATGAATTGCTCACAATACAACAGAATTACTGGTAAAAAGCTTTTTCCAGTTGAAAAGAGATCTGTGTCATTCATTCTGCTAAATCTGAAAGAGCTTGTCTTTGTGCTGACAAAAAGAACATTGTGGTCCCTGCTTCTGAGCGCAAGCTGAGAAAGAGAACCTTTGCTATTATTTTATCTAGTGCTGTTACTGATTCCATTGAAATACCTTTCACATCCCTGAAAGATGCATCTCTACAGCATGTCTCCAAAGGTCAGGTCAGGGTTAGGGTTAGGATAACACTTAAAACTTAAAAATAATGGAACAATCCACTAATACCCTATTTCATGAGTAATGCCTTGTGATATTGGTGGCAAATTAGATGGTTTACCTGAAACTTTTTTAGTGAAAATGTAGTATGTGAGATACTGGTAACATTATGTTTTGTTATGGTCTTCTTGTGAAGGGAAAAAACAATGAAGCTGATATGACTGAACAATGAAAACTATACCGTACAAATCACCTTAAAATAACAGCATAAGCTGAAGTTAAGGACAAGAAAAATTTGAAAGTTAAACCTACAGGGTGATAAAGAGTAAAACATGTAATCTGTGAAGCAGACTTAGTCTGATATTCCACAAGCAAGAGAGTCAACTTTTCAGCATAACAGCGTGTAACCAACAGAAAGGTCTTGGTTTCTTTGTCTCCCCTCCCTTATAATACCTTCACTTCTTCCTCCTTTCCACTGCTTTTGCAAAAGGAGTGATAGAATCCTCCTAGTTGCTCCTGGACATGTACAGTTTTTGACTGACCTTACTTAAACCACTTCATCGGAAAGTTCATCAAATTTTATTTTTCCTTTTGTTGGGGTAATCTATCATTTCAGTGGCTAAAGTGGATCACAGAAGGATTTGGCAAAGCACAAATTAGCAGTGGATCCCAGTAAGTAGCAAAGAAGGGACACAGGAGGTTCTTTTATAGAGGCTAAACTTACTACAGTCAGGTCATGCACTCTCTTGGATTCATTTAGGTAACTCTGGGCTTCCTACTGTCTTTAAAGAGCATTAAAACATAAAGCAAGTATCTTCTGTAGCATACGCAACATCTAGTTTCAGACAGGTAGCTAAGAATACCTTTTTTTTTTCTTTTTTTCAAAGGAATAACTATCCAGAGTGCAACTGTATAGATAACTTACCCAGAAATATTATCTTATGATCCAGGAATTTCTACATATTAGAAAACAAGGTTGCCTGCCTGATAGCAGGGATATATATTTGTGATGTGGAAGGGCAGTATACCGTGGTCTCTAGTGTCCCAGAAAAATGGGCTGAATGACCACTGCTCTATTAGCTGGTCTTGTTTCTCAAGCCTTTCAGGAACTACTCACGTTTGTCCTGACATCAAAATTTTTCCAATTGCAAAAACTGCAAAATAAAAAAACCATTTCCTACTCACCTTTTAGTTCTACTAGTTTAAATGTTGACACTTGTCTGGGATACACTCCATTGTGCATTTTCTTCTGTATTTGGTGCCAGAATTGTACTTGCCACTAGAGAAAAGGAATGCTATCAGGTAGTCCAAAGGAGTTTTGCAGGTTTGTCAAAATGTTCTACTAAAGGTTAACTCTGTTGCATGCTCCATTATCATGCTATTATCCATCCTTTATCCCGTTCTCTTCCTCACAAAAGCCCTGGAAGGTCATAATGCCCCCTCTTCAATTTCAACACTATATTTAATTTTCATACAGGGAGTGGGATTTAGGTAGGTGTCAACACAGAAATGTGGAATGTAATTCATTTGGGTTGTGGATGATGGCAGCTTCATATTGCTGTTAAACCATGAAGTACAAAATTTCACATTTTTGTCTTGTGTTTTCTCTCAGTATTGCTGTAGCACTCAGGGACATGGATTGCAATGTTCTTTAGTGTCGGAGTTTTGAAATTGTTTCCACAACGTGTGTTATAGTTTCCTCACTTATTTCGTTCTGTTTTGTCTTCCTGGCTTTTATTTTGTGTTCCATGAGAGCCACTGGAGTTTAATTGAACGCTTTCAAATTGGTAAGAGTAACATAGGGCAGCACTCTGATTTGCAGCTTGGTGTGGTCTGCTCTGCTTTTGAACAGTACTTACTAAGAGTTTGCATTTAAGTAGTCTTTTTCTCCATTTGTATTGTGCAAGGTCAAGTTCAAAGCATCAATTAGGTAATTTGAGTATCCATTTTAATCAGTAAATAATAGGGATACATGTTTTGTTTAAATATTTTAAAGGAAAAGAACCTTGTGGCCCACCCAAGAACTTAGATACTAAAGTGGAGGAGAGTTCTGAAGTACCTATTTTAGAAGACACGTCATTATCACCAACAGATATTCAACAACATCTATGGCAGGTTTCCACAGATATTGAAAACACTGAAAGGTATGTGTAGCACTTCATTCCAAAACAAACAAATTTCCTTCTGGATTTATTTAGTCTTTTTTAATTTGACAGCCAGTGTTGCTACTATGAAAATTATAAGTAAATTAAATAACCTGTTAACTTCTCTAGTACATCAGATTTTCTGATTTTGTGAAATGTGGCTGAAATATGCTAAGCTCCAATTCTGCATTTCAAAATCAAAAACACAGAATCTAATTAATTTCACTTAGTTCTGCCCAGAGTTTTAAAATTGGAAGTTTTAGGAGGGGAATGTTGTAGTGGTATTATTGTACTCTCTTAACTATACAGTTGAAAGCCAAAAATTAGACCCTTTACTGTAGAGTAATCCTGATGGTTAACATTTCTTTGCAAAAAGTTCTGTTTTGAGGCTTTGTATATTAAGTTGCTGCTGAGATTTGGATTGTTATCATGCTTATTTACATAAAGCCAAATTGTGTTCTACTGGGCCATAATGTGGAGAATGAACAGAGCAATTTTTCACTAATCATGCTGCTACATTTCTGAGAACCATTTCATGTGCAGAGGAATGAAGCAAGACCATATTGATTTTAAATCCTGAAAGCATTAAGACATTACAAACTTATGTATGTCTGCCATCTGTGTGTAAAAGGGAAACCACTTGAAAATTTCTGGCCTCTTTCAAAACATTTCAAAGTGTAATTTTCTTTTGGAGATGATGTGTTGTTATCATATTTTCCATCATCTCCCTTTTAGAAAATCTAATGCCAGAGTCCTCCCAAGGCAGGTGAGAGTCATAGCCCTGTTTCTAAAATTTTCATTTAATGTGCACTGTTAAGTATTGTGGGTTAGTTGCATGTGTTATAATTTTCTTCTGAACAGTGAAACACATTCATGGCACAAGCTACAAAATGCTTATAAGTGGTATGAAGATGATATTAGTACTAGCTACTATTAATTTTAATACATACTGTGTATTTTGCCACTAGGATCACATTGTGTCCCCAAAGGCTTTTGATATAAAATATTCAAGTGCCAGAATAGGTCATAAATTTGAACCAGGAAAAGTTAGTGATCCCCTATCAATTTTTTTGCTGTTTCTTTTGGTATGAATCTTTAGATACATGTATGTAAACTGAATTCTTGCTCAGTAGATTCTTGTATTTATCACTCCATTGTTTTAGCATGTAAAGCTATACTGTGGGCCATTCCCCATGCAGTCTTCAACTGTTGTTCCATTGTATCTTTTTTAACTGTTGTATCTACAGAGATATGAGAGAAATGAAGAACCTTTTAAGTAAACTCAGGGAGACTATGCCTTTACCACTGAAAAATCAAGGTAGGTTTTGAATTTTCTTTATTTAATAAAAATTAAGATAATGGAAGGATTTCCCTTCCTTTATATACAAAAAAATCTAGGGTTCTTTAATGGAAACTAGAAAAAGAGAAATCTAGACAAAATCTGGATTTCTGATTCAGTGGAGCTGATTCAGTGGAGCCAGAATCTAGTATGTGATCTTTGGCCTCTTGAATTTCACATGAGGTATTCTGGAATTTATAGATACAGTATGTATAAATAAAATAATAGACCTTTCCTGTTGATACAAAGGCAGAAGCACAACTCCAGTGTCTGAAGTCCTTCTTTCTCAAAAGCAATGAAGGTGCAAATTGCAGACTAAGGGATCCTTCTGAGTGATGTGGTTTGCTTCACCCTACAAGGCTCATGCCTTCTGTGACCTGACACTGACTCTGCAGAAAAGCTACTTTCCTTGAGTCTTGCCACCAGGCTGCTTTTCCCATAGATGGCGATCAGGCACCCCATAGAATTGCACAGGTGGGCAGGATCCCCATCCTATGCATCTATTTAGCAAAGGGCCTTCATTTTCTTGGCATGGTAAATACTCCACATCTACAAGCACTCTTTGTTCATGAGAACAGCATAAAAAAGATAATGATTTTTCTTTTTGATTTCTTCTTGATAATGGGTGTTCCTTAAATGTGGTTCAGTCTTTGCACGGTGGCAGCTGATGAAATGTACTGAATGTGTCCTAGATCTCATTCCAAGTAACTAAGCAGCCTAGCATTCATCATAATATGCTACAAGATGAATGTAGAATGATTGTATTCATTATACAAGTAAGATTTCATGGCAGGATAGCTTGATTGAAGACTATACTGCAAGGAAAAAGGGAATCACTTGTGATACAAATGTGCGATTGTAAAGACTGGAAGAGTGATAAAAAGTCTAGGCTTAACGTAGAAGAAAAGAGTGTGCTGGAAATAAGGAAGGGAAAGACAAATTGAGGGGATATAATGCATGGAGAAACTTGAATTCAGAACAGAGATAAAGGTGTAGAGAATTCTTCTTTGTTGCCTGCTGTCTACACTGCCCTTCAACACTGACCAGTGCAGCAGGATAGGAAGCATCCCAGAGTTTTAAAACTCTAAGATATGCCCCAGGATCAAGTAATCATAATTATTATGGAGATCCTGTTAATTAGCACTGTATGGCTCTCAAATGCAAAATTCAGGTGCTCTGTGCTCTATGGGATCTACCACTTCTCAGAAAGGGTTGTCAAGCATTGGAATGAATGCCCAGGGAGGTGGTGGAGGTATTCAAGAAAGGGCTGGACTTAGTGCCATTTGGTTGATGTGGTGCTGATCAGTTATAGGTTGGACTCAGATACCTTTTGCAACATGAATGATTCTGTGATCATGCAGGTGCTGTTAGGACACATAAATGATGTAATCTCTTTTCAGTGCATATGGGTACATGCTTGTTAAGATGTGGGGTTTTTCATCACAGATGATAGCAGCCTCCTAAACTTGACTCCATACCCACTGGTAAGAAGACGGAAGCGAAGATTCTTCGGGTTGTGTTGTCTTGTCTCAAGTTAGAAGATTAAGCACAGGAGTACCAAGGAGATAATGACTTTGATTAAACCACTATTATTTGATGACTGAAAAGATGAAAGTGGCTAATATTGATTATAAAGTATATTTTCTACACTAAGCTATTAATTTTTGCCTTCTGCTCCATCCTCCTTTTCAAATAAGGGTTTTAATACTTTCAAGTCTTGAAAGGCTGTGGAACAGATCTAGCGTATTTAAAACTTTTTAAAGTATGTTTTGCATGCTTACTTTCAGTCACTCAAAGAAGACACAAGAATTATGATTCATAGATAATTTTAGAGGGTTTTTTAATTGTTTGAGCCACCGGTAAAAGTCTGTGCATAGTACACTACTCTTACTTAATTATGATTACTTAAGCATAGAAGAAGAACATTTGATTATTCTCTCACAGTCTTTAAGCATAGGAAACTATTTAAGAGCAAAACTATTAAGGTTCTAAGACATTAAAACAATATTGTAACAGAATTTATGAAATATAATCCAGTTGCTTTTTGTGCTCTCATTCATATTTAGTCTTCCACTGTATCTCAACTTCAAAGCTTTATAGAAGAATACCTTAATTTATTATACAAAAACCATATATGAAAATAGTTAGGAGTTGTAAATACAGAGAAATCATAATATCTACAAACTGTACAATGCTTAGAAGCAACAGATTTCCTTTTAAGCCAATAGTATATCTACAAGCTTTTGGAAAAAAAAAGTAATTTATTAAAAGAAGGTGTATTAAAATAAACAATGTAAAACACAACACCAACCCATTTTGTTGCCAGTAGAACTCAAAGCATGGTGTCTGCATATCACTAAGTATTGATCTGATAAGGCATGCCAGAATTATCTCAGACTGTAAGATATTAAACATTTTACATTGTTAATAAAGTTTTTTATTTAAATTAAACGTTGTCTTGTTTCTAGTTGTTACCAGACTATGTATTTTTTTCTAATCATGTTGTCAGAGTACTGCATGAATTTGTGACAATATTTCCATTTCAGCAAGTATGTTTACAAAGATTAAAAAGATATGCATGACTAAATTCTTTAAATAGCACCAAAAAAGATAACTTCAGTGTGTTTGAAGATTTTAGGTCATGAACTGGCATGAATTAGGCATAAATATTGCTAAGCATCTGAAATGGGGAGATCCCTATGCACACAAAACTATGTGCTTGTGAGAGCAAAAAACATTTTTAAAGAGAACGGAATCAAAGTCCACAGCATAATGTTTAAGCACAGTTAATTCTTTAAAGCTTCCTGCACATATCTCATGAACCTTGTGTTAATTAATCAGAGCTGTTGTCTGTAACAGGCAGCACTGACATGTTTCCACTAGAACTCTCAAAACAGTAGACTCACTCTATGATTCCATCCTCACAGATACACTAGGTTTTGCAACTCTTAAAAAAACAACTTTGGAATATAAAGTTTAAAAAGCTGTTTTGGAAAAACAACTGGTGTCTAATGGCTATTAAAAATAATGTCTACAAAGTTGATTAGTAGTTACAATTAACCAATTAATTTTTTTTCAGCATAAGTGAAAAAGACAGACATTAATGCCAGAAAAAATGTATGCATTCAAGACTGAATGTACAGTGATGCCATGAGAAAGAAAAGGGGGAAAGAAAATTTCACACAAGATTTCTTTTGAAGTCCTGTTTTATTGGTACAATCAGAGAATCAGATGGGCAGATAAAGCAGTGACCATGTCTTATTCATTACCTGACCACATATCATCACAGGGAATTCCATATGCCAGGTTGCATGACAGCTCATATCTTTGTGTTTTAACCACAGTTATTGCAATGGAATATACATTAGTAAGACAAATGTATAAACATTTTAATGAACAAAGTCCTGGTAAGTATCTGAATTGAAGAGGTATCAAGGGATAAATTGGTTTACTTAGGAATGCAGTGGATTATCTTTTACTAATTCAAAAGGAAACAAGAAAACTTTTTAAGCCCCAGAGCATGGTGTCAGTAAAATAAAGATAAAAGTTAATGATATTTCTACATTTTAATTTAATGGAATACGGCAGTGTAGGATCAAAGTTTAAAAGTTCCCTCAACAAAATGAAATACAAATTATTTATAGAGATTGTTTAGAACCATTATTTTCTTTCTGAGTACTTAGAAATACCCCCTATTTCACAATAAACTCCCAAATGGTAACAAGCAATTCCAGGAGAATACTGAGGAAAGCAGCACTTGCTTTCTAAATCCTTCTTGGAGTTTGAACATTTTAGTTGAAAGTGTTATAAGTTCAAGACACCATTTTTTTGCAGGGTAGGAAGCAAGTATGAGTTCCTCTTGCCACCAAATATGTCAAATTTCACCAACTCTCTCTTTTACTAAAATTGTGTACCTCCGGCTTTATAAAACCAGGTTCTTTACAGCCACCTTCCACTGGCAGCACCCATTTTTCACATTTAATGTCATAAAAAATACCAATCTAAGAAATCACATAACTATGTACACTGTAAAGTCTAAATTTTTCAGAGTAGAATCAAAATACAAGCATACAGCAGTAGACAGCACGCTAACACATGCTGCAGGTTGCATGTTAACTAACCCAAAATGAGGAGGTACCATAAAAAATCAGCATGTTAACTTACATAATAGGTCCATGTATATCCAATACAAGTTAGAAAATCTGTGTCAGAGAATGGGAGAGACACAATAACCAACTTCTGTCCCATCTGAGGAATAAATACACAGTGGTGCATTAAATGCCTATTGGTCTTAAGTCTTTGTAACGGAGAAATTCCTTATTACCTCTGTAAGAGACATCCTACCTATTGTCCAGCTTTGTAGACAAGAGGCAAGAGAAGCTAAAGAAACATCTATTTCTGCTCATACTTAGTCATAAGTCACTCCAGTCAATGAAGACTTGTAGCATTTTTTTGGGAAGTTTGTGGTCCTGTTTAAGTTCTACGACCTTGAAGGCACTGACTGATATGCAGGAAAACTTACCCTTTGCCAGCAGAACCAGCCTTTTCTGCTTCAAAAAACTAAACTAGGCTGAATACAGGTGGGCAGGACATATTTTCTAGGGATCGTGGTGTGGCAAAAGTTGTAACAATGACTTTTCTATACCTGAATAATTTGTCTCAAATCCAAAACTATTTTCCCTGAGATTCTATTTTCTAGCCCCACCCATGTTTCAAGACTTAACTTTTTAACTTTACTTTTACTCTTTAATTGGTGGTTGTACCCTCTAATGTGGAGGCTGGTTTTTTTCAGCTTCAGCTGTTCAAAGTGTATGCATAATGTGCTGTCCAGATCTAGCCTTGTGTTGCCAGTCTTAGACATTTTCCTGCCTGAACTCACTTGGCTTTGAACTACCAGTCTCCATCTCACTAGTACTTTGAGCCTTTCCCTTGTAACATCTGTACAATTTCTTGGAGTGGTATTTCTATCACTTCCATTTTTAAAAAAACGTATTACATACCGCTAGCAAAGGGAATTCTGATCTCCAAGAGAGCACCTGTATCTATTTGTCCAGTCTATTACTATCTAATGCAAGCATATCTTCATTTGAGCAATTACATGTACTCAGCTCCCTCTTCCAGAAGTTATTTCTAGCTCTTCTGGAACTGCAGTTCTTTGATGAAAAAAAACTTTCTTCCAATTTTCAGCTTAAATCTACTCCTGGACAATTAAAAACATGCAATGTGTTTCTTACATGTCACCCTGAAAACTCAGCTTTTGAGCTTGCTAACATAGTTTTCTAAGGACTTTCCCAGGACAGTAACTGTAAACATAGATATGTGTACATTCTTTCTGTTACACGTCTTGTGATGGGCATCTCTCATGGCCAGTGCAGTGAGAAAGTGTTATCCTGACCATCCAATCCCTGGCCATGGTAAGAAGCCTATAAATCCTGGGAGGAAAAATAAACTCTGCTTTTTCTTTCACCACACCTCAACCTGTGTCCGTGTGATCTATTCATCTTCAGCAGTAACGCTTACTTACAACTTTATTCTTTGTTAAAATTCTCTGATAGTCAAAATTCTGGCAGGGTGTTTTAAACAATTATACTTTAACAAAAGCCTGAGGAAAATACACAGTACAGACAAATAAGGATTAATCACTCCTTCACAGTACACCTTCTCAGTGGGACAAGTATTGAGCTTACACAGCAAACTGTAAATAAACCACATCTTGCTGAAGTTTAAATGAACTAACTCTACAAAATAGCCTTTTTCAGACTTTTTTCTTTATTGCTATTATTTAAACGATAACATTGCTTTTCTAGATAAACCTGTTCTTACGGTCTTTCTTCTCTAATAGTTTTCCTTTTTTTTTTCCCCCCTAATCTCTTTGGGTTCTTTATTCTTGTAGCTCTTTTGTTTTCTGCTACCACCACCTCATCTCATGTTCTTCTTTATCACTTGAATTCATCTTCATAGATTGTTATACTAGAATTTCTTGTGAACAGTGTAAGTGTTCCGGCATTTTTACTACAGATGCATTTTTGACATATTTTTCTCTATTAACCCTTATTATTATTCATAATGATTTGTATCTTATAATTTCTATTAATGTCTTTCTTAGGTACTACTGCCTTGGGGCAGAGGCATTGTAGTAGGAGGTACCAAGTGTGTGTTTGCCCAAGAGAGTCTGTCATGTGTGGTAATTTTCACAAGGTAAGATAGGTTGGTTGCACAAGACATGGCAATATCAGAAATACGTTTTAACAGCTTTGCCACTGGCTCTACTGTGGAGACTTCGGAGCACAACTGAATCATCAGTTGAGAGAAAAAGTTTGGGATGTTTGACATTCTGTTTTGCATACAAAGAGATTGTGTCCCTTTTTGACTGGAGAGAGATGATGTGAGGAATTGCAAAAGATGATCTTCTTAAAATACATCCCAGGAGTTCCTAGAACTGATTGTTACATGAAACAGATAACAAGCACCATGTCAGATTCATTACTCATGATACTTTTCAGAGGAACCTGCATCTATGATTTTTTGCTGTTGTCAACTACAAAAGCACTGAATAAATACAGAGTTCAATGTGCATTATCTCAACAGCTTTCACGTCCTTAAAGAACAAGCCTGTAAATGTTACTCAGTCCAAGTTCACAGCTAGACACTGCTTTTTCTATCCGTAATTGTCTTGTTGCAATTCTAAGCTATGATTCTTCACTTAGGACACAAAGAGGTGATGCAATGATGACCCCCTCCAGGTCAAGCCCCTTCTCTGGAGCACCTGCTTCAGCAGTTGTGCTTTGTCCATGAAAATGTAACTTGAAGAATTATTCTCAGCCTTGGTTCCCAGGAATAACCAAGACAGCACAGAGCCTTGTAACCCCCTGGGCTTGAAGCTCTGGAATTTGTTTTGTCTTTCTGCTTAGGGAAAGGCCATGGAAAAGTACTGGGAAAACTAGCTACTAATACAGTAGGTTACAGAGTTACAAATATATGTGTGAAGAGTACAGAAAACATATAAAAGAAAAAAAAAAAAAAGGCAAAACCCAAATGGCATCAACACAGGAAACTAATATTAAATTGCAGTTGTACACACGGCTTTCCTTACACTGCAAGATGATGCTAGTAGCAGGTAAAAGACTTCAGAAGTTTAAGATTATGAAGATGCCAAGTATATTGTTAAAATGCCTCTAAAGACTATGAAAACTACTAAGCATGGAAGTATACTTTTGGCAGAATCTAAAGAGAAAAATATTACTGAAGTGCTGTTCAACTGTCCTAATCTGATATGTATTCAAATTAGGGTAATACATGTTACACAAAACTATTTGTGTTGAAAGTAGCTTTAAGTTACTCTAGGTACATTTCAAAAATGTATATACTCTAAACTGTGAAAGAGACTGAAGGGTTTTACTTGGTGTCTCTCAAGTTGCAGAGAACACTTAAGCTGTAATTTTTGTGCTGTGACTGTGTATTTTCTTTGGCTATTTGTGAAACAACAGCTTTATTCAGTTTCAATTCAGTGATTCCAGGATTTGGGGCATTTTATAGCAGTTTGTTTCCCATCTTAACAGCTCAACTGCCAATGTGCACATTTTTCTTCCACTACCTGGGAAAGATGATTGAAGGAAACACCAAGTATCTGCTTTTGTTTCCTGGTGCCAATTGACAGAGACTGATTTGCATTTCAGAGTTTACTGTAAAGTATATGAAGATTGTTAACTCTTCATTACGCTATGCACTTGTCATGCTCACCCCATATACTATTCATATGCTTTGTTCTTGTCTTTCTTTCTGGAAATGGTAATTTCATTCTGTAACAGAGAGAAGCTGACAGGGAATGGCACTCGTTTGTACTGGCATCACCTTTGTATTGCAAGAGCTTTGGAGCCTGTGGAGTAGCAGGGCAATCACTGCTGTAGAGTTATGCCAGGGTTAGCCTTCAAAAGTGTGATTGATTGATTGATTCAGATGCAAACTGAAGCTAGTAACAATTGACAGGAATGAAGAAATAGCTAAAGTTCAATACTAGAAGTTTTGTTTCGATATCCAAACTTTTACATCTATGTCAAAGATGAAATGACAAAGAACAAAACCCAAGGAAAAAGAACTTTAAAAATCGGTAGCTTTTGTTTGCTTCTGTTTATTTTCAGCTTGCTTATAGTGATCCTGCCAAAGGAATATGTAGTTATGCTTCACACAGTCTATGACCAGATCGATTTTAGAATATAATTTTGAAGTATCAATCATTTTTAGCTTCCCATTGCTCATTCTTCCCCTCTCAGGACCTGAACACTGATTCATATTTGCACTTACTGATTAATGTATTTAAGCAAAAAATATTATGTAAAACATACATTTATTTAAAAGGTAATAGAAAATCTCACTTGAATTTCCAAATCTGAAGTAACCATTCTGACATTAAGCATATTTAAGTCCTTATCGTTCTACACAAAGGCTTGCAAACTGAAATTTACCACATCTCACTGTAAAGGTTACAAACACAATCACAACTGAACTAAAAATAAGAGTCAAGAACCACTTGCATTAGTACTAATAAATCTGAAATAGAAAAGCAGATTCTTTTCATAAATGGTCCATCTAATAATTTGAAGCACTGATGTATGCAAATAGATTTGTCAAAAATATATATATATCTATCCCATTTTACAACAGCATTGCAAAGCATAAATAAACTTGCTCTGAAAGGAAAATCATCTTCTCTGCAGAAGTGAAAGCAAAAACAGACCAGCACGTCAGTCACTACTTGAACTGTCTGAACTGTTAGAAGATGAACTTTTTTCCTTTCGTCTCTTCTTTTTCTCCTTTTTATGATGCTTTCCTTTCTTAGATTTATGCTTTTTCCCCTTTTCTTTTTTGTGTGATTTTTGTTTTTTTGACTTTGGCTCATCCTCTTCTGCTGAACTTGATGAGGAAGATCTAGTAAAAAAAATGCAGATCAATATGTAATTAAAGAAGGAAAACAACACAATAATCATTTAAGGTGTCAGTATTTTTATAATGTCACAATTTGAATTTGGTGTAGAATTTGTACAGTAGCACCCACTGGAAATCTTATGTTATCTGAATCTGCATGCTTAACTTAAATGATGACTTTCCTATTAAGACTTTCATGCTAGAAAAGTAACATGTTTATAATACAGATTAAAAAATAATGGAACAGGCAAGTTGTGTGGGTTTTCAGTCTTTGAGAAAAGAACAACCAAGAGTACAGACCATCAAAAAATAAAGTATGACAAAAAGATAGAGCTTCTGTTTTAAAATACAAAATGATCAATAACAATGCTAACTAATGCCTTCAGATATATGTCCCTGATGCAAAAATCTAATAGAACAGTTATGAAAAATTTTTATGTTTTTGCAGCTCATACTATTGGTCTCTAACCAGTAGTGATGAGTGATTACATACATAAAAGAACTGTGATGACAATAAAAGTCATTAAATATTCATGAATACTAAAGAGGACATTTGTGCTATTGTTTACTTAAATATTACTTGAATATAAAGAAAACCAACAAGATTGACTCTTTTCTGTTCTACTTCTGCACAAGTGCAAGGGCTGTCTTCAAAAGTGGAAGCTTGAGCTACACAATGTAAATAAAGATAAGGAAAAATGCAAACACAACAGGTATTAAATCCTGTTTCTTTATATCTGAGGGACATCTTGTAGTCTCCAAATACATTTTACAGTTTATACCTTCCAGTGCAGTTCCTGGCATACTATCTTATCAGTTGTCCTAATGACAAAACATCAGTTTGTTTCATCTACAGTCTCACTTAAAAAAAAAAAAAAAAAAAAAAAAAAAAAAAGGCAAAAAAACCCCAAGAAACCAAGTCTGTCCACAGGCTACAACTCAGATTCACAAACATTGGGCTATTATAACATTTTTGTCTGAAACTGGAGTAACACTCTTTTCGGGCTTCTAAAACTCAGTATTACAGAGGTTTCCCTTTTGACAACTGCCAGTTACTCAGAGCACATGTGTGTGCCTGCAGGTGTGTTTACACATGCACGTGTGCACATAAAGAACCCTACAGTCTCTGAACTTCAGTGAGCCTTCTCCACCAGGCTAGGCTGGGGACCAACCCCACAGTCCTCCTGACTTGTTTTTTTCCCATCACAGCTTGTCTAAAGCTGGACACTCAGGGGGACTTCTGCATTCTCTGATCTGCAGACCTGCAGTTTGCTAGAGCTTTCAACACTCCTATGATCCTAACTCCATGGCAGAAGGCCTGTGACTCCCCCACAGATCTAAGAACCTTTACCTTACTATTATTTTACCATTACCTTTATCGTCCAGCAAGAACTGATTATAAACATGAATCAGTTCTCACTGGAAAACAGGACTTTTCAAGTGGAAGATGTACTTGCAAATAAATTTGCATCAACAGAAGCAGTATTTCCTGAGAAAACACAAGTATCAAAAATATTTCTAAAGCTATGTTTTGAAATGAAAAGAGGTGTGAAAAAGTTACCTTTTCCTTGGTCTTTTTAATTTTGTTTTCTCTTTGCTTTTTCTTTTTTGTTTCTTTTTTTCTTCCTCTTCATTTAAATCTATGGGTAGAAATTTAAAGTTTACGAAACACTTATCTGAATTAAGATCAGCATTAAAAAAGTAGTTTCAATAGCAATGTCAAGTTATTACAAAATTCTTGTTAAAAGGCTTTCTTTTCCTTCCCCCAAATTCTGGTTAGTATAGCAAATTCAGAAATATTTTGCAGTAGCAGCAAGACTTCGATACACAACTTACACTGTATTGACATTGATCTAAGCACTAAGAATGAAGGAAGGCCTGTAAAACGTAGCCAAAAGACCTCTTCCTGTATGATTACATCAGGTTTTCTTATCTGTTCTTCTGTATTTTAGCAGTTTTAACATTTAACATATTATTGTCCACATCTGAAAACTAGAACCATTAAAAAAAATAATATTCTGTTAGGTTTCCCTGAGTTATTTTCACACATCCCCATTTCATGTTTCACAAACAGAAATGCCGTGAGACACATTTGAGTTAATTGTTAATGTACTGCCTACAGAGACCAGCAAAAGACTCACCCCTCATCTGGGTGTGTCTGCCTCCTGCCCTAATCCTCTACAGTATAGTACAGTAACTTCACATTTCACTTACAAGCAATGTTTTTATGACATAGATGCAATTTCTGACCTTAGATTTTTCTATACCAGTTCAAAAAGTACTTTTGAACTCTCCAAAGTGCAAATCCACCACAAATACACCACCATAAATACACATTCAGCTAACAGAAAAACACTGGTTTTACAATTTATCCTTAAAAAAGAGAGGAAATTTTGAGTATTTCATTTTATTCCTATGACCCTTTCCATAAAGTCTGAATGCTGGTGTAGTTATTCCTTTGCTATCACAAATACAAATTATTGGTCTGTATGTTATGGAGTGGAACTTGAAAGAATTTAGTATGACATAAAAGAGAAAATTACCTTTGGAGCAATGTAAAAAATATGAATGAGAATGGGTGAACAAATAATATTTTTTAAAGAAAATAGTGCAAAATCTTAAGAAGATGAGAAAAAGCAGCAAAATTCTGCCTGGATAACTGACAATACACGTCTCCTTACAATATATGTAGCAGCCACAATTTGCAAGAGAACATATAATAAACAGGAATATTAGAAGGTCAAATAAACAGCTGTTTTTCCTGCAGGTATCCATCTTCAATCAGCTTAGAACTGAAAAAAAAACAACCTTTACATTCAGAAATACACAATAAGTGGTATTTTTTCCAAAGAGACTTGTTCCAAGAAAGCACCATTCCAGTACCAATTCAGCACTCTTGATAAACAGCCTACCCATTTCATTTGAAGTGTACAGCTAACTATATGGTTCTATCTACACCTTTTCCTTTCTAAATAGCTTCTTCTTTAGGAACTAAATGTCAGAGCATATGAGAGCAAGAGAACAAAACATAATAAAAAACTGAAGAGCAGAGGAGAAGAAAGTTCATTCATTTGAAACACACCATGGTGGAACAAACTCCCCTTCTTTCTTGGGTGAACAACCTCTTTGGAGTCCAAACGAACTCAAGTATCTGATAAACAACTCATCTATTCTCACTCTAACAACAAGTTGATACTCAGACCTTCCAAATATAGAACAGTACTTCTCCAAATATGAATGACTGAATTTCAATTTACTAGATGTTTCTGTCAAAATCCTACTCAGAACCTGGAGAGAAATCCAGGTGTCATATTCTCATTAGAAGATGTTTGAACTTCATGTCACAATCAAAAGATTAACTCAGAACATCCATGTCATTACTAGCTTCTTAGTAAAAGATCAATAATCTCTTGCATTTAGGAGCCCCTTTTGAGATGTTCTAAATGGGTTCATTCATAACTTCCTATAGAAGGAATTAATCATAATACTAAAAGAGTGTAGGTGTATCAAATCTCTGAAGTCTAAACAGATGAAGTAAAAGACCTATTTTTAAATCACAGGCTAAAAGAATTAAAAGTAGCTATCAAAAAGGATAAAGTGAGAGTCCCTGCACGTAAGAAGACTATTATCCAAGACCCACAAAAAACACCTTACTCTTTTTTTCACGCATGGCTTGTAATCTCTGTAGTTCCTCTTCCTCGCTGTCTTCACTGCTAGTGCTGCTAACATCTAAAACAATATCTCTCTGAGGATCTACTCGGAGGAAGTTTCGACATTCAAATGTCAGATGACCAGCTGAACAAAATAAATATACAGAAAAAAAAAATCACAATTTACCAAAAAACATCAAAAACTAAGTAACATTGATTTTTGTATTACTCAGTTTTGAAAAGTGAAAGGAAAAAAGGCAGTCTGTCATCTCTGAAAGGGACAGGAGAAAGTTTACTTTGAAAAAGTCTCCAAGAACTTTGATAGGTTGTTTAATGCTCTTCCATTTAATAGTGCTTTATGGCCTTTCTCCTATTCTGCTTATTTTAAGATTTTTTTCAACTTCAGTTTCTATTTTTAAACGGTCTTAGATACTTTCTAAAGAAATTACCTAAAAACATAGCATGAAATATTTCAAAAACTACAGTAAATGCATTGCTTAACTCCCTCCAGTGAAATTGTAGAATTCTGTTTGCTTATGAGACATAATCTTTAACAACCAGCATTTAATACTGACTAAAATACTACCTGACTGGTATTTTTAGTTTTCTAAGTTACATCTTGATAATCATGACCAGCTAGAAACCTTGTGCTGAATGCTCTCATTGAAATAATAAAATGAAATTTAAAAAAAAATGAAGATATGGTTTTGGAGACACAGTAATTCAAGTAGCAATTGAAATAAGCTCATGTTCTTAGTAAGGATGATGTCTAACTACCCAACCTTGAAGACAAGAGATTCTAGGAACATATAGACATGGATCACGTGATTTGACTACAAGTTTCCTCCTCTACCAGAAAGCTTCTGATACTTGTTGCATGTAGAAACAAAGCACTAAATCTATATTTGTATCCACTGTTCTTTGAAAGAACAGATACACAAAGCAATTCATTGACAAAAAATTTGTTGCAAAGCCTGAAGTGAAAGCATGAAGCAATCTTTTTTCCTGTCACCCAACATAACACTCATAAAAAACCTGGACAGCTTCACTCACTGTGCTGAAAGTTCAAGACAATTCAGTACAGAACAGTGTTCACTCCTCCAATGTTCCAAAAAATAATAAATAGTCAGTGACTAAAAATTTATAATCTTCACTAAGACCTGTCTCCATCAATCAGGAAAGTAGTCACAGACATTTACAATCAGTGTATAATCCAAATCATGAGCTAAAGGCCAACTGCAGAAATTGTAAGCAGTAAAGGTAGCTGTTTCTTGAAATAAACAGTGCACAAAATAATATTTTCTTAGCATAAAAGATAATACAAATTTTAAACTATTTTTTCTGGTGATTTAGATTTGACTTAAACTGAAATGCCTGCCTCTTTGCAGTAAGGTTCAAAAGAAGCACAAGCACTCATCTCAATGTATATCAAAGGTGCTTTCAATGCAAAGTTTCTCAAGTAATTGCATTGATATGTAGTATGTATAAATATAATATGGTTTTTTTTCCTGAGAAACTCAAAGAGGATTGATAATTTGAGAAACCAGAGAATGAACATGAAATAAATAAAAGAAAAATAATGTGGTAATTTAAACTGACAAACATCTAGGCAGAATACTGGGAATACAAGGGAGAATACTTCTTTCTTTTTTCCCCTTCTCCTCTAAAGGCAGTTCCAACCAACATCATAAACTAAAGAAAACACTGTAACTTCATATTGCTTATTACAGACTTACGGTAGCCACACTTTTTGCATCCAGCTCTGATATTATCCTTATTTCCACCTGAAAGAGAAAATTTCTTCAATTAGGTGTGGCTGAAGAGAACTTTCAAGTTTCTTTCAAATGTGACTAGATATTATCAGTACACAGAAGTGATCACCCCCTCAAAAGTACTAAGTACACTAAGATCTCTTAAAAAAACTGCATTTCTAAGGCTACTTTTCTCTACAGTAGTCTATCAGAACATTTGACTAGTTTCAACTGCTAGAGATCATTTAGTCTTACGTAATTTACTGCCAAATCCTAATTTGATTTATTGTAACCTTTCCACTTGTATAGTTACAGTAGGAACCCAACCATTGACATCTAACATTGCAGTGATCTGTAGCACACTATATAAATTCTAGCAGTGCAAGGATGTTGGCAGGCATCTGGAAACTCTATAGTGATTTATAATTTCATTACAAGAATTGACTTTACAAGGCAATTAAAAAGACCAAACAAAAAAATCACTCCTGAAAATAAGGAAATAAAAAGTCAACAAATCGTTAAATTATTCTGAATCCAGACAATATGACACCAAATACAAAAAATGCAAGAAAGCAGATGTGTAAGAAAGTAAAGACAGCAACAGAAAAGTTTAGATTCTAAGCAGGAAGAAGGATCTGAATAATGCAAATTTTAGGTATTGAAAGTGTATGATTCTCCCATGTGAGACAACAGTTATGTTAAACAGACACAGTAGGACATAATTCAGGAGAAGAACCAGGGATTTGCCCCACAGATCAATCTAATTTTAATAATTTAAGCCATTGGTAATGAAAGGGACAACTGAATCCCCAAAATCAAAGGATGCTCTTCTATCTCCCAACTGAATGGAGCAGAAAAACCCCAGTGACTTAAGCAGTCATATGCTATCAGAAATGGAGTACATTGGCCCCATTAATTTAAATTATGATTTACTGAAACAAGCACTGTCTTTAGAAAATTCTACTCAAAATTACAGAAACTTTCAAACCCCAAGTTTAAAAAACTACCTTTGAAACTTGGACAACTGAGGTGTATGCCTTAAAGGGTATTGGAAAGCCAAGCAACAAAGATCCATACATTCCATTATAACAGGTGATTTTCTGCAAATCCCAAAACCTTAGTATTACATATCCCCTTCAAGGTCAGCAGTGTTCAAGTACCTGTTTTGTGACTATCTTTAGAAGGACACCCATGAGAGATAAGGAGGTAGGAAACAGAGAAGAAAGAGTCACAAAATAAAAATCAAAAGCATAAAAGTATCTTGCAATGTCACATCAAAGAAACACTCAAACCAGCATTTGCTTGTTCACTACTCCTTGGGACTAGAAAACAAGATTACCCAAGCTACCTACTTTGTCTCAACTTTCTGAAATACAGAGTCAACCTCTGCATAGCTGACCCATAGGTAAAGGAAGATTTGGTGTTGCAGCAAAGGGAGGTCAGTACAGTGCACACTACAGAAATCTACCGTGTAAGTCAGGATCTCCAAAAAAGACACCCAGCAGATGACAAGAATGCTAATACTGTCATCAAATATTCCCACCAAATTCCAAGGACTTAAATTTTAATATTGTTTTTATGGCTTTACATAATAACTGACTTTAAATAATAATGTTAGAGGCAGGGGTTTGGACTAGGTGAAATTTTAGATGACTAAAAGCAAACAAATTGCAAGAAGCTTTCTTTCTCACTCTTCTTCCCATATCTTAATTCTCTAGACAATTAACAAATGGCACGCAACTAAGGACCCAAATCATTCAGTGGAGAATAAGATAAGAAAAGCTTTGGAAACCTTTGAATGCAAACATGTCCTCCACAAAAATCCCTTCTAGAATGGGAAGAAGTTTATGAAGGCCTTCTCCTCATCAGAGAAGCAATTATCACCAAAGCTCAGGCCTGTTCAGCTGTTCCTGAACCAAACACTCCCTGTTTGTCAGGACAAAACAATACGAAGAAACGGCGACACATACCCGAATACCTTGTAAACCGCGCAGGTACTTCTGCCTGCCCTGTCTCACAAGAACAGTCTACTGGGACACAAGCGCTAATCCAGAACTACCATGGAGGAGAAAAGCCATGTCTGACAACCACCGTTCTTTAACTCTAACCCCAGAGAAGGCGGGGATGGGAGCGGAGCGCCGCGTCACCCAGAAGCTCGGGGAGAGCCTCGCAGTCTCAAGAGGATGCGCCCGTAGCGCCCCTGCGTTGCCCCTGCCCAGCGCGGACCCCTCTCCCTCTCCATGTGCCCCTCCTTCTCCATCTCCATTTCCCCCTCCCTCTCCCTGCCGCTGCCCCCGGCAGCGCGGACTGGAGCAGCGCCCGCAGTCTCCCGCACACTTCCCAGTACCGCGCACGGCCGCGAGCCCTCCCCGCGCAATTGTCCCAGCTGCCCACCGCCCAGCCGCTCGTTCCCGTCCCCAGGCTGTCGGGCGGAGCCCGCCGGCGCTCTCCCTGCCCAGCCGCGGCCCCAGGCGGGAGCCCCTCACCCGGCAGTGCCATCCCGCCGCACTCTCCGAACCGGACCGGCCCGCATGCGCAGCGACACCTCTCCCCGCCGGAAGGCTTTGCTCGGCGCACTCCCGGACCGTACCACTCTCAGGGAAGGCAGGGGGCCTCAGCACCCCTAGGGCGGGGGCCGCGGTGGTGGACCACAGAGGTGTGGAGAAGCCTGCAGATCATTCCCAACACACGGCTTTTTCCAGTGAATCTCGGAGAGACTCCGGCCGAGGACTCGTTCCTTCTTCCTTTCTCCCGGCTTGTGCAACTTCATCTCCCCTTCCCTAGGTTGTGTGCAGGCGCCCAAGATGGCGGGCGGCTCGGGGCGGTAGGAAGTGTCGGAGGTGAAGCGGGCTCCAGCGTCAGGCTTGCCGGCCGGGCCGGTCCTTTCCCCACCATGAGCAACATATACATCCAGGAGCCTCCCACCAACGGGAAGGTGAGTCTGCCAGGGTGAAATCCTGGAGAAGTTATATGCTGTAGGGTTATGGGAGGACAGGCGAGAGGAACACGAATTTGGGGGGTGGTGGTGGTGGTGGTGGTGGTGGTGGTGGTGGTGGTGGTAGTGGTGGTGGTGGTGATGGTGATGGTGATGGTGATGGTGGTGATGGTGATGGTGATTGAGGGTGGGGAGGTCAGATCATTGTTTCTGTGGTGGACTCCTTTGGTTAAAGTTACTCTGACGCCGCCAGAGTAAAAGCACGAGGCGTCATGTCTGGAGACATAACACAGAGCAATCCTCGAAGCATTTAATTTAATTTCCTCTATTCTCTTTAATTTCCTCTATTTATATCTTAAGTCCTCAATTTTATTATGATCTCTCACTGAATGTAATGGTGTTCCTTCTAAGATCGAGACCTTTGGATATTTATGGCTTTTTCTTCCCCCCACGTTGTTTCATTATGTAGATGATAAAGGGTATCTAAGTTTCTGTAAAGTATCAGCCACGTTATGTTATGTTATGTTATGTTATGTTATGTTATGTTATGTTATGTTATGTTATTACAGCTATGTTTTACATCTTCATTATACACATTGATTCAGAGATACTCTCAATTTCTGGAAATGCTAGTTAGAATTAACAGTAGCTAACTGACACACCTAAATGTATACCACTCCTACAAATATAACAAATTCACATCTATTGTTCTTAAGCATTATATTCTTTGATCCGTTACAATAAAACTGAGGCTGCATTTTCTGTATGTTTATAGGTTTTGCTGAGAACTACAGCAGGAGAGATAGATATAGAATTATGGTCAAAAGAAGCACCAAAAGCATGCAGAAATTTCATCCAGCTATGTATGGAAGGTAATGGCTGAATGCAATGTAGTTGTTGAAATTAATTCATATGCGATCTTTGTGTCCTTTCTAGAAAACAGAGGTCATAATTATGTATGTCATAAGTTTATTTCTGTTTAGAAATTAATAATTAACACTTAGGCAATGTTTTCAAGGTTACCATTTAAGCTGGTGGAGAAAAATAGTAAAAATTTCTGATGCTTCTCTCAAATTAAGCAGATGACATAGTATTGAGACATTGTCTTTCAGAGTCTTGAGAAGGCTCACTTTCAGAAAATGTCTACAAAGTATAACAGCTTCAGTGTGTGTATGAGACGACAATGATGCAATATCTGACATTCTCCAACATTCTGATTTCTGCATCACAATTTACAGTACCATTTTTTTTTTTTTCTCCATGAGTGCTCCTAATGTTTCAGTTGCTGTATTTTTTGGTTGATGAAAGCTCTGTAAAACTTTCCACTGAAGTAGTGTGTGCCAGAATGAGAAGCTTCCTACTGAGAAAACTAACAAAAATCTGTAAAAGGCTTGATGCCTTTATATGTTTTCTGACTGGTGCTACTCTCCCATTTAAACATTTATAGAATTGCTAAGAGTTCTTCTAGCTTTCAACTGTTAAATAATAGCAGTCTAGGCTTTTGTGTCCCCATCACAAATATATACAGTCTGTTTTGTGTTCTTTGCCGTCATGTTGAGACTTTTTGCAATGGTAAAGGAATTTCTTAGCCTGTGATAAAGGTTCGTGTATACTCAGTGGGTTTTATTTCCTTTCTGATTTTTTTTAACTGCTATGTTGCATCTTGTGCTTTGTATAATACATTTAAATATTTATCAGTACTATCCGAGCATATAACCATACATGACTGTGTCTAGTTGTGCTGCAACATTTGCACACCCTACTTTATCTTACAGCATGCTGCAGGTTTATTTTTTTAATTATTATTATTAGTGTTATAATATCAACCTGGGGTTTGGTTCAGGTAAAGTTATGTTTTCATTGCTTTCGTTTTCTTATGATCTTGTAACCTCTATCAGATAAATAAAAGAAGATAGCTTAGTGGGCAAAATGAACCACATATTTCATTCTGCAAAAATTACCATTGTATATGCAGTATAAGTGATGAAGGGTGTTCTGTGCTGGTGATTGAAAATGCAAATTATCTGTATTTGGATATTGCTAATGTTGTATGTGAGATCTCATCTAGGACAGAGCACAGTATTTGTAGTTCTTGTTTTAGATTGTTCTATTTTGATAGTGTCATTCCAGTAATAAAACTTATAAGCTTAAAAGACTTTCATCAAGGTCATCTTGTCAGTGATGGGCAGGATTTTTTGCAGTAGAAACATGTGACATCACAGAGTGTGATTTCATAAGATTGTGGAGAATAGGAGGGAACCAAATAGAAGCCAACAGCAGAATGGAGTTACAGTGTTTGTTTTCTGGAACTTCTGTCTCTGGACATCACTGCATGATGTATATGAAAGTTTGGGTTTGAGACCACTTGCATGTATTTAAGAGCTTATTCTTTTTTTTTTTTTTTTCTTCTTTTTTTTAGAGTATTACAATAACACAATATTTCACAGAGTAGTGCCTGGCTTTATTGTGCAAGGGGGTGATCCCACTGGTACTGGATCAGGAGGAGAGTCAGTCTATGGAGCTCCTTTCAAGGTGTGTATCTATATCTTATATGTTAATTGGTTTGTTATTCTCTGTCCATTGTTCCAAGTTCTGAAAAAGCAAATCTTATATGAAATGCATCTATGTGCAGTAGATGCCTTCATGTGCTACTTCAGTATGTTTGAATATGCCCTTCTAAACTAAGAGTTCTTAGATCTAGCTACTCTGGTAGAATGATAAACCTGGGTGCTCAGATCCTGGGTGAAGCTACACACACAGGCTCAGCAGTGTTCTGTTGTGCCTGACTGTTCTATTTCAGGTGGGGCAGCCACTTTTATTTGTGACTGAAGCTACAAAGCCTGCTTCTGGGCCTTCCGTCTTCTTGCTGCTAGACTTTTGCATCTAGCATGAACCTGAAATTTGTGGGATTGAATGGTACCTGAGCAGAGAACAAAACAAAAATTACCAATATTACAGTAGCATTGCTGCTTCAAAGTAGTGGTATCTCAGTATTGCAGTGTTTAGTATTGTGATGTTACAGTGGTATTCATTGTTTTCCCTTGCTTTGGAAGGAGTCCTGTTTTGTCTTCCTAAATCCAGGAAATGTTCTTCCAATGGATTTTTGCATTCATCTACTGTTACAACCTCTTAATGTGCTTTCAGGAACTTTACATGAATGAGGATTTAAATTAATTTTTCACATAAATATAGTGATTGTCAAGAATAGTATTTTTGTAAGAAGTGTATGAAATGCAGTTACTTTTTAAAATGTTTTTTATTTTCTTAATATTGGGGGAATAATGAATGCAAATAAAAATAATGAATATCAATTGATTTATAGGCAATGACTGGAAAAGATAAAATTAACAAGACAGAATTTAGAATTTTTTTAATTAGTAATGTGTCTTTCTCTTACTGATATTTTAGTTTCTAATTTTTTGTTTGGTGTTTGTTGTGTGTTTATGATTTCTTTTGAAGATTGTTCATTTTTTGCATCATTGTAGGCACTAAGTATTAGAAAAACGAACTAAAAATAATTTTTTCTGCTTAGAGTAGGAGATTTTAAATATAATTCTGGCATAGAGTTTCAAAATTTGGATTTATTACTGTCTGAATACAAAACAAAATTAGTAGCATTGTTTTCTGTGTGTGCATGTTGATGTAAATAATACCACTACTATCTCCTATCATGCTGCAGCTAAAGGAGTGAAAAAATAGTTTTATACTGAAGTCATTCTCTTTTCTGTCCTGCTTTTACCAGGATGAGTTCCACTCACGATTGCGATTTAATCGAAGAGGACTTGTTGCAATGGCAAATGCTGGACCCCATGATAACGGGAGTCAATTTTTTTTTACATTGGGTCGTGCAGATGAACTTAACAACAAGCACACAATATTTGGAAAGGTCTGTTACATAAATTGGAATCCCAGTTTAAATCTGACAGATGCTACTAGAAGTTTCCCTGAAGGCCAGTTTAGTATTGTTTGCTGCTAAGTGTATTTGAAATTTAATCCAGTGCTTTCTAGGGTCTCTTCCATTCTCTTTGTTTCTTATATCTGGTAGGAGTGTTTCTGTGGGTTGTGCCTGTTACTACCTGTTTTGCTTCTGTTATTCTTCTAAATTGTATTTTCATTTTGTGCTGCCTTTAAATAATCTTATTTGTATTATTATGGCTTTGTTAATCAGTTCATCTAATACTAATGACATGTTGGAAAATCCTGTTTAGAATTGATTTGATTCTAATTTCCCAAGACGGATCAGGAAGATAAAGAACATGAGATGAATTTACCACTCTCATAATTTACTTAAAAGAAATTAAAGCAAATATTTTGTATATTTCAGTGTTTTTTGTTTCATAGCTCACAGTAACTTCATTGTCTTCTTCTGTATGCGTTCTCAAAACGACCTCCATTCCTTCAACTTTTGCCATTAAATTTAAAAACCCGAACTTTTGTACATTGTACTTGCTATCTTTTACACATGTTGCATGCTTACAATATTTCCTATATCAAATGTACTTTCAAAATTTTTACACAATAATTGCCTTGTATTTTGCACAATAAATACCACACATTACAGTCAAGAATTTTCAAACCTTTCTTTGTAAATTTGCCAGGTTACAGGGGA